GAAGTATTCTATAATATTAAAAGTAATATATATATATATATATATATATATAACGGTTTTAATGATCACACTTCTTAATAATTGCTTTTCATTTTGAATATTAGCGTTAATTCCACAATGAATATTTAGTTCTATAGTCTATCCAACGTGACATATACCATGCACGCTAATTATATAATATTTCCTTCTTTCTCGTGCAGTTTGTGGTAAAAGGTTAGCAGACTGACTGATCTCAACATCACTTGAAAGATGTATAAACACATGTAACTAATTTTCAAACTTGAAACATATTTCTTCAAGTCCACACTCTTATTCCCGGACACTTTCTGAAAAACAAAATGGGTTAGAACTTTAACATGTTAGAATACTTAACATGAACATAGATGTAAACATGAATTCCCATACACGTTGGTAAACATCGTTTGATCATTAAATGTGTTTGAAGAAGATAAATCATGCAGACAGAATCAATACGTAATAACATCAAATTGCTATTACATTCTTAGAAGCATCTATATTTGCGTCTGTTGTAACATATAATTTTATATTTATACAATAAGCTATTGGCAATTATCGGAAATAACATATCTTGTTTGTATGGTCATTTGGACTTGGTCTATAACGCAACCCAACAACTCTGTAATAGATAAAAAAACTTATCGAGAATATAAAGATACAGAGCAATGAGGTTAATTTTCATTCAAATTTTCATTAAAAAATCTACAAATATATCGAAGTCACGAGTTGAAACACGTGATGTAAAAGAGAGAATAACAAAAATTTCTACACATTTTGTTATGAAAAGACTGTATTTCAGTATTTAATTTGTTCAGTTTCGTTCAGTTTGTTTGTTGTTAAACAAAAAGTTTCACAATGCGTGTTGTCCCTAGCCGCAATGATTGAACATCGAAAAGTTGTCCAGGAAACAACACCAGAAGTTTACTACAGAAGAGCATAAGTGCTAACAGAGGGCGCTTAAAACATTATAGGATGCAGGGTTGCATTTTGTAAGGTAGTAGAGGAACTACATTGCAACAGGCTTGGATTACTATAACCTTTTTAGACCCGTTTTATTGTTTACTTACCAGAAACTTGTATACACAGTTTTTGCATACATATAGACTAGAAGTGTGGGTATTGTTATAACCTTTCATTGTAAGTACACGAAAAGAATTGAAGAGGTTTGGAGTGTTTCTTACTCTTCTTATGTTATATACAGTGTTGTATTAGGGGACGTAGTTTTCATAGCAGAGGACATGGGGTGAGGAGAAAAAATTTTGCACTAACTCATTGAAATATGAACTGAAGTGACTGAAGAGTTCTTAGGATCAATATGATGAAGTACAAGTACAATTTTGTTAAAAAATAAGAAAACATTTTATGCTTTAAATGTAAGGCTACAACAGATGTATTCTTTTTTTATTTAGAAATTATATGAATTATTTAAGTAAGTTTGTCTAACAAATCAAGACGCGCTTAGACTACTCAATATATTATTTTTAATACGTAAATATGTTATTCCAGAAGTCCCCGTTTGACAGCCCATCTTTTCAACAGAAGAGAGCGGGAAGTGTTTTTGGAATCCCACTCAAGCCTCACTGTATACTGAAAAGGTAAGACTGAGCTTCAGAACAAACATACCAACTGTCTGCCAAGTGGAGACAGTTTGTTGTTCACATTCGTTTTAGCAAATGTTAACAAAATAAAATATCGTGAAATTTGTAAACCTACAGATGATGCTTGTTTCGGGAAGTAACAAATCAAGTTCACTACTCCAGAAAGATGGATGGACCAATAGATACATCTATATGGAACCTGATAATTTTATTTCAGAATAACTGTTCTCTATGTTGCCCCCAGCGGCACAGCGGTATGTCTGCAGAATCCGGGTTTCGATACCCGTGGTGGGAAGAGCACAAATAGCCCATTTTGTAGCTTTGTGAATAATTCCCTATGTTATTAACCAGCACATAAAATCATAAAACTTCGAATTTTCATAACAAAACTATCGCTTCGAAAGCTTGAACTGTATTAATGATCAATATGTTGTCTTCAGAAAAATCTGAAATCTAAGAAAAGATTAAAGTGCTGATTATTATATTTTTCTGATTCTGACTACGATTACTTAGCTAACATATCGTTAAGAATTCATTAATAACGGCAGATCGTGATTTTTTTGTGGTAAGTACAAATCGAAAAGTTTAAGTAACAAATTAAAGAGACGAAACTTGACGTACAACAGAAAACACAAGTGTTTGCTGTACATTAAAGAAAGGCAAACACGAGACACCAGCACAATAGAAACGGCAAACTGAAATTGAGATGAATGAGTAAAAAGACCAACTGACCTTCTGATTGGGTTTTAAGTTGGAAACGTACCAGAGGTGTAGGAGGCAAATTAAAAATGGGAACGGTGCCCAAGGTTTATTTGACCGAGCGAAACGAGGGAATGTGCGCCACAGGTGTACCCATTACGGCTGGGATTCAGGGCTCGCCTTAGGACTCTGGAAGCTCTTGGTTTTTAGATTAAATTTTATGCATTCTTCTACTTTCCTGAAAGTAAATTTCCTAATTCTGATGCATTTTTTTTACTGGGACAGATTGAAAAGTGAGAGGACCTCCCCCTCTTCCTACCATTTCAAGGGTTATAGGTTAATTGCGAATATAATCAAGATCTATCTTGACATCAGCTTTCATCTAGGCTAGTGGTGTTCACGTCTTTGGTGTTCGTTCTTTGTACAATGGCCACAGGCACTTGAAGAGATACTACATTTGGATTATGTTTATTGAAAGTAACTGGATCAGGAATTAACCCGTAACATTCTAGTGGATTCTGTGCTAGTCTTCTGAAAAATATCTGTTCTTGTTCTCCACCAATGAAGTCGTGATATATAAGTTTTCTCGTGTGCTTATAATCCAGTATGTGCGTAGTGGTTATATGTTCCCACAACATTTAGATAGGAGCATCTTAGAAGATGGCTTAGTGTTTAACATATACAAGTATCAAAATTTTCAACTTTTAAGCACGTATAAATTCTATTCCAGATCCATCTATCCTTCTTTCTAGCTGGGACCCGAGAGAAGGCAACCAGATGATAACAACACATGTGGCCTGAAGCGGCTGCTCTTACCAAATAGCGGGAATGACTGCCACAGCTAAACATACGAAGCGTGTTATGTAGCAGCATGTTTTGAAACCGAGACCCTTGGATCCCCAGTCCAGTACGCTAACCATTTGTCCACGCTAAGTTCAATATACATTTTAAGGTGATAAGGTTATCACGGGTAAGACATATTTCAAATGAAAGAAGAATCGAATAATAATAATTCAATAATTTTATAAAATATATAACAAGTTTTAAAGTTTAATGTTATACCTAATCTGTCTTTAATCTCATTCTTCTCACGTTTTACAAATTACAATTAAAAGTGAAACGTTTAATTGGGTTACTCATATATCTTGTGATATTTAATTAATAAAAGTATATATCTTTTAAACCACAGTAGCTGGAGTAACTCGTTTGTAACAACGGATAAGAAATTGTGCTTCTATTTGTTTTCTTTACATAATAGACATTAAAAGTGGAATAAAAATACATAAAGGTACCAATACTGAAAATAAAGACATATTGTTTTCAGTAATTCTATCAATGTGTAATTAGATGGGGGTCCAGCCTCCCTCATGACCTTTCTCATGTTATCCTTCATCACTGTGTCAAATTGTGCTGATTTGGTAGTTTTCCGAAATAAGATATGAAATTAGATGGGGTCCACCCCCCACATGACCTTTTTCGTGTCATCCTGTATCGCCGTGTCAAGTTTGATGCTGATTGATAAAGAAATGTGGAAACGTAAAAAAAAACAACAGCTACACACACACATTGACGTTTTTTTATATAGATTGCAAAATATTCTTGTTTTGCAACAGTAAATAATCGTGGTATAAAAGGTGTATTACTTTTATTAATTAAGAGTTTGTTTAAATGAACGTATTGTATAACAGAAGGAGTTGACCCAAATCCCCAATGTGCACGGTTCACAACAGATGTATAAGGTTTAAACCAATAAAAACACACATTAGAAAACTTACTATATTCGAGTTCATTTTAGCACTGGTGACCAAGCACTTTTTTAAGCAATATTTCTATAGAAATAATATATACCAGTTTATTGCGATGCAAGGATATTTCTACATATAAAATTAACAAGAATATGACTGTATAATAATCAATATGCTTTTAAAACAAACATTGCAAGTATTACCCAGTTAATGTTTACATGATCAATATTGAAATCGTTGGCCTTTCTGATAATCTCACTTGAAATGATCTGGAGCCGCGCCTTTATAATGAGTCAATGTTTCCAGAACTAACTACTTGTGTGAAACATACTGAAGCCTACTACTTACTACACGAGAGATATGAAAAAAGTGGAATTCGTTTAAATCTACATACAAAAAAGTTTTTACTTCTTCAGCGAGAGAGAGCCCAGTACTGAATTTACACGGTTATTTGTTTTTTAAAGATGTTTCTTTACATTAAAAAATCATCACATTTCCCAATACTTAATGAGTTCTATAGGAATTCTAGGAATTACAAGACAATTTGTAGAGACAGACAATCACAGCAGCAAACAGGGGAGATGCGTATAGTGGGGACTAGACGTTGAGCCCTGTGCTTAAGCAGAAAGGGGGAGGGGCTAGTGAAGGAAGGGGGTAGTAGACAAGGACAGAAATGAAAGTAGCAGAGGACCATGTTATTGGTTTTGTCACGTGAAAAAACTGAACTTTAGCTTGGTACACGGATTTACTGCCAATCCCTGGGTGGAGAGAAGCAATTATACGTACTTAGTCCTTGGATATGGAATCAAGCATACAAGAAACACTCCGAATTGTTTGGTTTGTTAGAAATAAAAAAAAAAGAACGAGAGCTAGGATGACTTCTTGTTCTTGACAGTTTGGTATGTGTTTTAGATTATGTTAGAGTACAGCTTGTTCTATGGTTACAAACTTTACATCGATATATATGTATGATAGCAGAACGTAACCAACACACAAATATGAAGCTGGTATGTAATAACAACTGAATTTGGGCATTGAACTTACGCGTGTTCGCTTAACGGAAAGAAAAAACTTGAAAAGTATTGGATTTTTATTGGCTCTAGACTAGAATGGATTCCTTCCTAAAATTCACAAGTTACACGTGCTTAATCTAAGTAAAATAACGACATACTGAATTCATACCTGTAACAGAAATGTTGATTATATAGCAAAGTTCTTACATATTTATGAAAAAACACCAATAGACGCTCCTGAATGCAATAAGTTGCTTATTTCAGTAAAAAAATTCAATTTTTAAGTAAAATGTAAAGATTTTTATGTAATATTGATAACAAAGAGCGTTTTTATCTCATCAGTTAGACAACAGTCTATCTAATTTCTTTTAAATTCAACTTATTGGTGATGCTCAATTTTAAAAAGGTCTAAGTTTTCAACAAATTTCTGTTTTCGTTCTACATACTTCTTTTGTGTTGTTTTTTATTTGGGGGTTGAGATAAAACTGCTTAAAATATCTGTATTTAACGCAACTGTTAGAAATGATTGTGAAAACATTATTTCAATAGTTAAGTAAAATAGTAACATCAAAAGGAAGGACTGCGTTAAAAACAGAAAGACCAAACCTGTGACGAAAAAAAATTAACTATCAAAATTAGACTTTACAACCAACTGCACATATTAAAAAGATCATCAGGGCACAAGCTATAATATGGTTCTGGGTTTTTGAGGTGACTACGAAAATAGGATCCACATTGTGGAAGGGATCGACCGTCTACCAGTCTTAACCTCCGTCCATTGGTCCCACATGTTAAACAAAAAATAAGTAAAATAAGTAAGAAAACGAAAATAAGAATACGTCTAGGAAGTAAAATGTGGGTGCTCAACCCCACAACGTTCCACATATATATCACCTTCGCTGTATGCATACAGATATGGGAAGATGACTGCTCTCCAAAGAAATGTAAAATGAAAGAATAACGAAAATAAGGTTCTACCACTGGGGGGGGGTGAGGAAGGAAAACCTTACCTCCTGACATTAGTATTCTAGTAGTAAATCTGAAATTAATAAGTTAATTAGTAGATTTTGATTCGCCATGTCGACTGACTAGATTGACATCGACGTTTGGATATTGCCTGATAGATGGGATATCCCCCAACGCATTTGGGTACTATTACCACAGACATTATCCGTTACGACAATAAGGTGGCAACCAGGACCGATAACGGTATTGCGATATATTTAGCTTGGTAAATGGAACCAGGCTAAAATTTCAGTGCACAATATTGAAGAACAAATTGATATAAAACACAATGTTTCAAATATTTTTTAAAAACAGAATGGTATTATTAGCAAAATTGTTTATCTAAAACGTGTGGAATGTATAAAGTAACGAAGGGCAATTTTTTTTTTATTTCTGTATTATAAATGTATAAAATGTCATTTGCTGTAATACAATTAACTTGTATTTAAAAAAAAAGATCACAATGAATTACAGGGTCATATAAATTTGAATAAGAACATAAATATATTAAGAAACAAAAAACTATAAAATAACACTAAAACTTTCTAAAGAAATATATCCTCTGCTTCGAAATCGAATGACATTCAATTCTATATAACTAAAACTGAATTTCATTTATGTTACGAATAACAACAGAGAAACAAAGCCTTTTTATCTTAACTATTTTAGGTAATAACAAAATATTCTTATTTTTCGCCCATGGAGAGGAAACAAAATGCTTCCTATTGTTCACGAATTACTTATTTGACACCATTTACTTACAAAATTAATTATTATATAAAACTTCGTAAAAAAACGAACAAACACGAAGTCATCGTTTTTTTTTGCGTAAATATTCGCAAACGTTAAGCATGAGCACGTGTGTTGAATTATTTGACCTTTATGAATGAGGAAATGGGCACAGCTTTAGATATAATGATAATGCGCTTTTTTTCTTTTACGTCTTAGATTTCCCTCTTGATTCAACTGGTTCAAACATACTTTAATAAATACCCAGAAGTTTAGGTAGGCCGCATTGTCATTCACACGAACACAAGACTCTGATGTTAACTGAACGTCACTTTCAAATACGCGGTTTAATTTGATAAAACGAAAAATACCTCGTAATTCGCTAAGAGGGTTCGCATTAACTTATATATATAGAAATAATTTTTTAGTAATTCGTGATTATTACTTATTAAAATAATGTAATTTTTACATCCGACATTAAATTTTAATCGAAGCAATGGACAGAGAAGAACTAAATGTAACATCTGCACGGAATTGTACACGCAAAGAAGATCAATATTTCTACTTAGCAACATATTTAAGATCATGTCTAATTTAGTTGTTGCATTTTAATGTAAGAGACTGAACATTAAAAATGGAAATTAAATATACATATATATATATAGATATATTTATTTAAGCAAGATCTTTAAGTTAAACCAATAATTACAATGCAACGCTTTGTCGGGTAAGTACCAAAGCTAACAACATTGTTTTCGGTAATAATGGCTGGAGACGGCTTAAATGGGTAATGAAGAAAAACTTTAATATAAGTTTAACATGACAGCAAATGTACAACGTTTCGACAAAACTAATTTTATATCAGTGATAAGTTGTTCTTTGTGTGTGTGTGTGTGTGACCTCTAGTCTTCTTTAAGTATTGCATTAAGATAACTGTGATGTTAGTAACGTGTGAAGCTTTTCTCTTCAGGAATTGAAACAGAAGTCAGTACGAATTTTCATTGAAAACAACTTTATTCTCTGCTATGATTTTCAGCTATTTGTCTCTGCATTTAGTTCTTTCAGCAAGTGGTGTTCATCTTATCTTCACTAATCTGAATTAATTATATAATACTTTATTTCAGACGATTTAAACCACCTGGCGTATTATATCTTGATATACGTACAACACGTATTATCTCTACATCTGTTTATATCCAGAGATTGTTTATTTGTTTTTTGCTTCACTTTTACAATCTTAGCAGCATACGCATTTGATCTATGGAGTAATTTTACTTTTTAATACCCAGTAAAAACTTATAATTACAAAATTCGATATGATAGCATTACGTTACGTGCTTTTCTTTAACTCATAATCTTGAAATGAGTATTTCGTTCCTCAGGCAGTAAATGTACCATCATTCTGAGGCATATATACTTATAGGATGACCTACGTCCGATTCAAAGTTATGGTTTGAAATGTGTGCTTACGCTCTAGCTTCTAAGCTGAAATTTAAAACTTTCCGTTATGTATAAAAATATATTTTTTCTCGTTGCAAAAACTGAATTAAAATTGATATACTTATAAGGTTTTTTTTTTATCACGAATGTCACTTTTGGATGTAAACGTTATTAAGTTTTTCGTGCAAAACCGAATCTATTCCAAAAAAAAAAACGTTGCTAGATACTTGCTACTCGCCCGTCTTGTTCTTCCGCCTTCATCTAAACACTCCATCATATCATTTCATGGTTTTGGAAGTATATTAATTTCCATTTTAAATTTAGCCAATTCTTAATAAATCTTATCTTTTACTTGACAGCTAAGGGTAGCTTTCCACATTCACCGAATACTGCTATATTTGTAACACTCTTTGAAAGTCCTACGAAGCATTCGCAAGACATATTTTGTATTTTTTCTATCAGTACATACTCAGTAAATCCTCAAATTTCTGTCCAATAAAGTCCAATAAGTAGGAGTTATCATTTTATCAGATATGTTAAAATTCACTTTATACGGAAAACCATATATTTCTCAGTCGTATTTTCTTATCATAATACTCGCTTTTTCCGCTTACTTGACTAAATTTTCGGTCATAACGTAATGAGGCAGTTTACTTATAGTTATTGCAATTCCTCAGAATTTATATAACGAAAATACCTCTAAACGCTCATTTTATATAAATCAGATGAATTTAATATACTTCCTTTTATAAAAGTTACTGTTTTTCATTTTACTGTATTAATACAAAATGTGGTCGTTTTTGCAATATTTTTTGTAATTAAGCACAAAGCTACATAATGGGCTATCTGTGCTCTGCCCACCAAGGGTATCGAAACCCGGATTCTAGCGTTGTAAGTCCGCAGACATACCGCTGTGTCACTGGGGGGCTTTTTTCTAATATTTTTAGAAGATTCACTACACAACGCTATATCGTATATGCACAGAAAAGATGAAATACATCTAACGATATTATTGATAACATTTCCTAAATCTTTTTCCGTATTCTTGTAATTAAATCAATCATACAAATCACCAATACGAACGGACTATTCTCACTTCCTTGCTCTGTATACCTACTTCAAAGTAAAAAAACAAAAAAACTGTTTTAATTCTCTTTCAGTTTTTAGACACGATTTCATTTGTTGTCCATACCAACTATCATATTGAAAACTTTTCGCTTTTTACCGCTTTCATTAAGTTTATTCCATAATATTGCACGAAACACCATATCAAATTCTTTGCTAAAATCGCGCAGTAAATCTCTTTTTCTGCAACGCAATATGAAGTAGAAACAAGATCAATTCCTGAATACCCGTTTCTGTACTCAGCCTGCTTTTCATATACTTTTTCATTTAAGTATAGTCAGATATTGAACTCCCAAGTTTATGATTTTTGTGAGCATTACCCCATAACGTTAGGAAGAGACATTCTTTTGTAATTATCAGAACAGTTGTCACCACCTGTCACAATATCATTGATTTACTCCGTTGATCATTAAATTCTCCTCTACTCAAAATCAAATTGAAAATTTTATTATAGCTCTAGACTTATGGTATCAATATTTAATTCGAACATTTTGTTGGTTGTGCCATTAATACTAGGTGCCTTTCAATAGGGCCCGGCATGGCCAGGTGGGTAGGGCGCTCGACTCGCAATCTGAGAGTCGCGAGCTCGAATCCCCCTCCCACCA